TCGGCGAGTTTTGCTCCATTACCAGGAGAGACCTACAGAGCTCCCAAGAATCTCTCCCAGCCCCCCCCCAGTGAAAATTCTGAAATTTGATCATGCTCATTTTGTTCTCCGAGTTTTGCTCCATTTTGCTCCACTATCGGCGAGTTTTGCTCCATTACCAGGAGAGACCTACAGAGCTTCCAAGAATATCTCCCAAGCCCCCCCCGGTGAAAATTTTGAAATTTGATCATGCTCATTTTGTTCTCCGAGTTTTGCTCCATTTTGCTCCACTATCGGAGAGTTTTGCTCCATTACCAGGAGAGACTTACAGAGCTCCCAAGAATCTCTCCCAGCCCCCAGCCCCCCCAGTGAAAACTCTGAAATTTGATCATGCTCATTTTGTTCTCCGAGTTTTGCACCATTTAGCTCCATGATCGGCGAGTTTTGCTCCATTACCAGGAATGATCTACAGAGCTCCCAGGAATCTCCCCCTAGCCCCCCCCCCCCCCCCCCGGTAAATTTTTTTAAATTTGAACATTTGAGTTCCAAAGAATCTCTTCTTGCCCCCCAGCTCCATTTTGCACCATGATCAGCTCGTTTTGCTTCATGACGAGCCGTTTTCGGATGCCACGCTTTGACCGCTCAGCGCTTTCGAGTTAGTCCGAAGTACACCGGCTACAATATTACACATTCGAGCAAACAGAGTTTGGCGCTCTCAAGCTGCTCTCACTTTCCTCGCCTGTTTCCCCTGATGCATCTTTATGATTTTCAAGCGTTCAAGTGCAAAGCGCATTGAGTGTAATGGGTGTGAAATGCTCCAGGTGCTTCGCACACTGCACCCGAAAGCGGCTCTGGAATGAACTACACAGCTCCCAGGAATCTCTCCTTGCAACACGTGTGAAAATTTTGGAGTTTCTATATGCGCAATATTGTTCTCCGATTTTTGCTCCATTTTGCTCCATGATCGGCGAGTTTTGCTCCATTACCTGGAATGAACTAGCCCTCCCACCTCCCCACACCAGTGAAACTTTAGTTTGATCATATTCATTCTGTTCTCCGAGTTTCGCTCCGTTTTGCTCCATGATCGGCGAGTTCTGCTCCATTACTTGAGCTGCTTTCGGGTACTCAGGCGCTCTGAAGCTACTCTCATTTTCCTCGCCTCTTTTTCCTGATGCAACTGTAATTGATTTTCAAGCATTTGAGTGCAAAGCGCATTGAGTATAATGGCCGTATTATTTGTTGTCCTTATCTAGTCAACAGGCTATTAAGTATATCTTAATCGTTCTGATAGGTTCATAAAATCTGTCGCTATGCGTCCTGTCCCATTGGCTTCCTCTCCCCTTTCAGACGTCGTCCGTCATGATCCATGTTGTGGGCTTCAACAAAGGCGGAGCACTCGTTCTCATGGAAACGCTGCTCCCCTGTTTCAAGAATAAGGACCCTAGAGGTCATTCCAGGTAATGGAGCAAAACTCGCCAATCATGGAGCAAAACTCGGAGAACAAAATGAGCACGATCAAATTTCAGAATTTTCACTGCGGGGGGGGGGGGGGGGGCTGGGACAGATTATTGGACGCTCTGTAGATCTCTCCTGGTAATGGAGCAAAATGGAGCAAAACTCGGAGAACAAAATGAGCATGATCAAATTTCAGAATTTTCACTGGGGGGCTGGGAGAGATTCTTGGGAGCTCTGTAGGTCTCTCCTGGTAATGGAGGCAAAACTCGCCGATAGTGGAGCAAAATGGAGCAAAACTCGGAGAACAAAATGAGCATGATCAAATTTCAAAATTTTCACCGGGGGGGCTGGGAGATATTCTTGGAAGCTCTGTAGGTCTCTCCTGGTAATGGAGCAAAACTCGCCGATAGTGGAGCAAAATGGAGCAAAACTCGGAGAACAAAATGAGCATGATCAAATTTCAAAATTTTCACCGGGGGGGGCTGGGAGATATTCTTGGAAGCTCTGTAGGTCTCTCCTGGTAATGGAGCAAAACTCGCCGATAGTGGAGCAAAATGGAGCAAAACTCGGAGAACAAAATGAGCATGATCAAATTTCAAAATTTTCACCGGGGGGGGCTGGGAGATATTCTTGGAAGCTCTGTAGGTCTCTCCTGGTAATGGAGCAAAACTCGCCGATAGTGGAGCAAAATGGAGCAAAACTCGGAGAACAAAATGAGCATGATCAAATTTCAAAATTTTCACCGGGGGGGGCTGGGATATATTTTTGGAAGGTCTGTAGGTCTCTCCTGGTAATGGAGCAAAACTCGCCGATAGTGGAGCAAAATGGAGCAAAACTCGGAGAACAAAATGAGCATGATCAAATTTCAAAATTTTCACCGGGGGGGGCTGGGAGATATTCTTGGAAGCTCTGTAGGTCTCTCCTGGTAATGGAGCAAAACTCGCCGATAGTGGAGCAAAATGGAGCAAAACTCGGAGAACAAAATGAGCATGATCAAATTTCAAAATTTTCACCGGGGGGGGCTGGGAGAGATTCTTGGGAGCTCTGTAGGTCTCTCCTGGTAATGGAGCAAAACTCGCCGATAGTGGAGCAAAATGGAGCAAAACTCGGAGAACAAAATGAGCATGATCAAAATTTTCACTGGGGGGGGCTAGCGTTAATTCAGCCCCCCCCCCCTAATAGGCCACATAGTCTCTCCACTGTAATGGAGCAAAAATCGAAATTAGTGGAGCAAAATGGAGCAAAATGAGAGCAAAATTATGGGATAATTTTCATCCAGAAATTTTCTTTGGGGGGGGGCTAACTTAACTGACCCGATTTCCTCACGTAAATACTAAATAAAGTAGGTATTATGCCAAATATATCTAGAGCTATCTTTTACATAAAAATATTTTATACAGGGTGACCCTAAAATCAGCAAGTTAGAGAAGACATGTTTCTTAATGGGAATTCCAAAAAAAAATTCTACTTCTGGATTCTCTCTATGAAATGTTTATTGTTCAGACCATCTTTTAAAATCCTGTAAATTTGTCTATGTTTATTTTGGAGCAATCTCTAAATAACAATCATTCATCAATTTACTTGTGGTGGCCAAGGGTAGAAGCATTTCTTAGGACCTAAAAAGTAATGTCAACCTTCTAGATTCTAGATGAAGAAACTCAGTCAAATGTTTTGTAAATATACATACATAATACAGATACAAAGATGCAAAGATTATTCGCTATCTGAACTTGATGACACATCCAAATTATTGTCCAGACTGTTTGCTTCATTATTGGTTCACTCAAACTCCGAACATAAGCAAGACTCGGAACAAGGTACCTAATGAAATTTCCCTACAACTGCAGTTACCACTACAGCCTTTTTTGCAGCTACATTTAATTAAGTAAATAATAGACTCTGGGGCTGGACCATTCGTTAGGGGTATGAACTGATACATTTCATCTGTAAGCTTCCAGCCATGGTTTTCAGGATTGAGTAAATCTGGAATACATTCGACACTTTTTTGCCAACCGGTAATCGGATCAAAATAGAAATACAAAATGTTACTAAACGAAGTATTGCTGTTTTCGTGTTAATAATATAATAATTTTAAGTGTGCTGGATGTATTTATGTTACTTACTAGGAATTCAAACTTTACTTGTTGGACAAAATATTTTCGATTAAAACGAATCTTTTTTTAGGTAAATCACACTGTAGGTACCTACTGTGAAAATTTTATAAATTTAATCAAGACCAAATTGGTTATTGATCAAAGTTATAGTTTATTTAATTGCAGTTGATAGCTCAAATCGAGGATTAGGACCATATAGTCATTGTAAAACCATTGTAAACCATAGGGTTTACAATGACTTTATGGTCCTGAACCTCGATTTGAGCTATCAACTGCAATGAAATAGACCATAGTAAAATGTATTTCAATCCTCTTTGTTGTTTGTATTGTCCTGTCGTACAAGTAAGTACCTATATAATTGTTACGCAAGATGTCGAATAAAAGATACTCACTTTGACAGCCTGCTAGAGTTTTATTGTCTATTTTCCACAGAAGCTGCCCTAAAAGAATCCCTATCGCCCATTTTTTGTCAAAACAACCGTCCAGTTTGCGAAATACAAAAGTCGTGCGGATCAAAAAAACCGCCCTCCAAAGGGCCTTTTCAGCGAAGAAGGGCGGGCAAACCCGTTCCCATTCGAATCGAGGTGAGGGTTTTTATAACCAGGATGACGAGTGTCTTGTCCTTTGAGGGCCGAAACCGCGCCCTTTTTGGATTTTGCAGTACGCCAACTGTATGGCATTCAATTATCCGCGTCTTCGTTTAACGCTGGTAGTTGAAGAAAAGCAACAGTATTAGGTCGTCTTTGGCTTATGAAGCTCAAGAGTCTAATAATAATTATTGTCTCGAGTTTTTTTAATTCCGGCTCTTGATTGACTTCCATTTTTGAACGCTTACGAGTTTTCCAGGACTCCCTCTGTATAGTACTAGCATATATGCCTTCTAGATACTGTGATAATAATGATTAATAATATATCTATATGTAATTAAAAATCCAAAGGGCATTAGTATTACTTTGAAAAAAAAAGTGACAAAATCTGAAAAGTTTATCAGTTTTTTCACAAGCTCAACTTCCTACAAAATTACCCCAAATTACGTACCCTCAAAAACTTGGCTCGATTGTAGCCAAAATAGTAGTTCAGTGTAACTATTTCTTTGGACTTTCCTATTTAGAATGCGTTGGTGTTAAAAAAATTACCCTTTGGCATATTTCTGGAGTCAATGCATTTAAAATGGAAAAGTTCAAGTGGGTACCTATCAGTGAAGTTCAAATGGACCACATTCTAAACTTGGAATGAACATAAATAGGTATAGTAACATTTGATATCAATGAAAGAATGATTTTTTTTATTAAAATAACACAAATTTGAATTTCCATCGATTCAGCAGATCGCCTTGTCATCTGTATCGTAAAACACACTTTTACGTACTTAGTTTTAGTCCGGAAAATTAACTTTTACACTACCTACTGATTACTGAAATGATTTCGCGGTTATCAGTTTTATTACAAGTTCGTTGGCATTGAATAATCAAGCACAAATACAAGGCTTAGTTCTCTGCAACTCCTTGTTGACGTTAAACTAATTACCTACTCAGTAACTTGTTTTAAAATAATGCATAACAGTAATGCATTACTGCAATTAACATAATCACTAACAATAATTGATTATATTGTTATTGTTTTGACTCGAAGAAGGATTAACACCGGTTGGCGGCCTGCAAACTGTTATGGAATCGACCCTTGGAAATTCGCTTTGTTGATGCAAACACGTTTCGATAGCGAAAAAAAAACCTGTCGCGATTCGCATACTATTAAGTTTACACGTGTGTCCCGCTCATTATTTATTCGAAATTTAAAGATTCTTTCTCACATTCCGTTCGGAATCTTTACGACGCGACGACGTATAGTTTTGTGATTGTTTGTGTGTTGTTAAGAGAAATGGCTGTTGCTCATCAAGGAAAGGTATACCTATTTCTTTTAAATTATTATTTTCTGTGTTGTAACAACACTGTCGTTACGTGCCTATTATATCGCTTGTTTGATCACTTGTGTGGAAATATGCTTTCTGGGGAATTTTGTAAATATAAAGTTCAATAGACGTTGAATCGTCTCAATAGTAGTGTGATAGAATTGCTCTAGAAATGAATTCTGTGAAAGGAAAGTGTCACTAGCTAAGTTGAAAACTAATATTTTGGAGATTCAAAAACCGAAATTAGACCATGCACATTTCAAGAACTATTGATATTCCAAACAAAATTTAAATTTGAAAGTTTTATAATTTTTTTTGCTCTACAACATGGCATCTTCAAATTTTGAATCCGACGTTTCGTAATCGAGCTTCCATCATCAACTTCATTTTTTTAAATACGGACCTGGATTTTTTATATCATTCTTAAAAAGGGAATAAAGGGCACTTTCTAGAAATGACATAGAAAATCCAGGTCCGTATTCAAAAAAGTGAAATTGATGATGGTAGCTCGATGACGAAACGTCGGATTCAAAATTTGAAGATGCCATGTTGTGTAGCATTTTTATCTTCCTCTAATTTAAATTCATATAAAATGCTACAATTTTGGAAAAAATAGTAAAACAATCAATTTTAGTTTTAAGAATGTTTATTAATTATAATTAAATAAATTAATGAATAAACAATATGTTTATCTTGGCAACTGTAAATTCTGGTTGGGAAATCTCCGGCATCAACTTCGGTTTTCTTTTGGGTGTCTTCAAGAACCTAAAAAAAGCAAAAAAAAAGGAAAAGAATAATGAGACAAATCACCGATTACTTTTGTGATATGAAAACTTACCTGTATCTATCCCAAAACCAATTCAGATTCCGCTATTGTGAAGGTTCTCTTTGCTCACCCATTTTCAAATTTTTCTATTTTTCCATCAAAGTTAAATCCAACCCTGGTGTTTGGTCTATTTTAAATTACTGCTGGCCTTGTCACCGTTCAGCGAATATTTTTGGGGGTTCTCCCACCGCCTTGAACTTGGTTCACTGTTGGAGCAGGGAGGCTTCGTTTTGCTACCAGTGGTCACGGAACCTTTGTCAAGAGCTTTGAAAACTCTAAAATCCGTCCGTATCGCCCTTTTGATTTTTATCAAGATTTGTAGAAGTTGGCGTAGACCACAAAATATTTTGTGAGCTCAGTAGATCCAGTTTCCAGATTTATGGTTGTTGAGCGATTTTATGAGTTATTTGGGATGATTATTTCGCGTAAGTTGCACGTGCCTCGTGGTAAGAATTTAACATCTTCTAATGGTTTTTTATCTTCATAGATTCATTTTTGATTATCCAGTTTGCTTTCGATTGGCATTAAATTGCTGCTGATATTCGCATTGGAATTTTCACTTCCTAATTTATTGGAGGGTCCAAATCAGAGTCCAAATCCAGATCCAAGTCTAAATTCAGATAAGTTTTGAGTCAAGCCTAACCCGTGCAATTACCAACTAGTCCGAGTTGTAGTTCTGGTCCACTTTGCGCCCATTTGATCTCTACTCTTACCAGAATATATCCAGCTTCGAATTCGTCCAGAGCCCGATAAGCCAGATTTGGGACTTTATGGATGCACAGAAAATCTAACAGGTTCGCTAGAGATTAAGGCAGATCAGTGAAAAACCGAATAAAAAAAAATATGCTTTAACTTTCAAACATTTTCTTATATTTTTTCGTTTTTGAAATAATGATTTTTTTTATCTATATTTAGGTATAATGTGAATAGCCGATTTGGTATTTTTTTATTTTATTTTTATTGCGTATATTATTCAGGTATTTTTGAATAAGACCCCAAAACCCCGAAGATTCATGAATTTTCCCCAGGTTTTCCGTGATATAATTACCTTTTTACAGTAATACAATTTGACCAAATAGTGCTATATATTTAACAATCATATTTGATATTAAAATTTTCATAACTTTAATTAGAATCTCATAACTTTATTATTACAAAATTCTACATTATTATACACCGGTGTAATTGTACAGTGTACAGTGTGTTCTTTACTGTTGTCCAGGAAAATAAAGTTTTATTTTTTGGGGAGTACTGAGTATTTGTTTAGAGAATCTTTCTTATTTTCAGGTCACAGTTTCGGGTACTTTTCAATTTAAGTTTTTCTAATTTTTTTTCTTAATTGACATTTCAACATTATTTAAACTGTAACAATTATGTAAGTAATCTTTCACTTAAAAAAATTTGTGGCGTCCAAATGGCAAGGTCAAAATCAAGCAAATATTATCTGAACCCATTTCCCAATGCCACTGATGAAAAGCTGCCGTGCTTATATGTTTAGTGGTTGTTTTCCGGAATCAGAAAAAATCAGGAAAATAATTGCTACAGTTGTAGAGCAAAAAAAATTATAAAACTTTCAAATTTAAATTTTATCTCGAATATCAATAGTTTTCGAAATAATTGATGAAATAATTTTTGGCTTTATTTGAAAATCACCCTGTATTTTATAAACTAAAAGGAATTTGGCAACACTGCAAACAAGTCTTGAATGGGCATCCAAAAAGGCAACTTTTTTCTAATTTAACCGACCTTGTAGCTCTTACCGTTTTTAATATAGCAATAGTGGTATCAGTTAAAATATACATCCTGTATATCATAACAACAAAACATCGAGAACATGCAATTAATATAAAACAACCAGAGCTGTCAGAAAAAAGTATCTTAGTTACTTTACAGTATCTTAGTTACTTTATAGTATCTAAGATACTGTATCTTAAATACTTTTCATTTTTGGCAAAAGTATCTAGTATCTTAGTTACTTTTCAGAAGGATCTGTAACTTGTATCTTAAAAAAGTATCTTATATACCGAAAAGTATCTGAGATACTTAAAAGTATCTTAGATACTGAAAAGTATCTAAGATACTGAAAAGTATTTTAGATACTGAAAAGTATCTTAGATACTGAAATTGACCTCTCTACACTCAACCAAACAGTAGCATAAATAAAAAGAAGTTGTTCTTTGATTTAATGAACAATTCATTAAAATCGGTCCAAAAAACGGCTTCTTTGATCACATGAACTCTACGTTATTGAAGTATGAACAATTTCTTAATTCCTATTTCGATTCATCTTGTGTATGAACAACGAACATTAAGGTATGTAGCAAGGTTTTTGTATTAATGAAACTTTTCATAGTAACAATAAACATCGTTCTTAGTTTATATGTACTTTTTCATTGTCCTGATGAACAGACGGCATAATATTAATGAAGCCCAGATATAATTTGATGAAACCCTTTCATTGTATTTATGAATCACAGTCTTGAATACTAAGAATTTCATTCATTGTATTTATTAATGACGTTTTCAATAATATGTACCATATTCTTTATTTTTATTAAAATAATTTCATGAATTATGCCTCAAATATACTTATGATTTTAAATGGGGTAAAGGGTCATTTTTTATATTTGCGTGTCCCCTGTACTGATGAATATGAGCAATAGGAAAAAAGCTTTTAATGCAAAAGTTGCATGGTTTCTTCGTATCATCTTCCAGAATTGTCAAACAAACCAATGGGCATCCCAAAATCTGAAAATTTAAAAATCTAAGTACCTACTTATGTATTTTTATTTTAAATGACACTAACCGTATATTCTATTATCGCGGCGAGTTTTCTAAAGGGCGAGTGCGATAAAATGTCTTATGAAACGAATATTTTATACTATTTTTTCTATTTTGGTATTGATAAATTAAAAAAAACAAATTTTTCTTGGAAATTTTATTTTCATATTTCCTAATTTCATATGTTTAGGTTGGTAATACTACATGCCAAATATAGAAATCTTCTATTTTAAAATCGCGAATGACAGTTCGATGGCCAACAGTCAGCCAGTGTTACCAACCTCCGATAAGTAAAAAAGGAGTGTCACAAAGAGCTTCTTTTCGAAACTACTTTTAGTGTCGAAAAGACTTCGATATGACACCAAAATAGAAAAAATTAGATTTGATGCCTTGGCTGGTTTCCTTGCCTCGGCTATGAAACACTAGCTGCGGTATTGAATCTTCTGCTTTTCTACCTAGTGAAACAAAACCATTTAACAAAAATATATCGATTAAAAAAATTACAACTTGATTTGAGATTGGGTATACTTACTTTTAGAGACTTCAGTATTCCTTAGAAATTCTGAGGAGCTCTTGACGCTTTTGTCTTTCACGTTCTCCCCGGATGACATTTAAATCTGTAGGTCATTTCTTTCGCATTCCCATTTTGAGACTAGACCGTCTCCGTGCAATGCATCAAAGTCCTACCTAAAGTGCGTTTTTTTTTAAAAGATAAAAGTCAAAGTGACATTATGTTGGCAATACAATGGAAAATTGTCAATGCTTTCAAATTTTTTATGTAGAAAAGGCTTGTGTTGCCAACATAGTTACTAAATTTTTGACTTGGGGAATTATCTTTAAAAAAAAAACGCACTTTACATAATAGGTATACATATTATAGAGGTAATAGAGGTATACAACTTACCTTTAGAAATAACCGGCGACAGGTATAATCGACTTTCTATTGAACACTTCGAACAACACAAAACCGAAAAAACCGACTTGAACAAAGTACGTAGCAATGCACCCAGAAAATAGAAATGTAATTATTCCTATTTCAACATATTTTTCTATGTCGTTGCCCGACTGCAGCTACCTTTGCGCATGTGCTTAGGAACTGTCTACATTAATGCTATGAACTGTTTCATTGTATTTATGATTTATCTTGATGTAATGGTTGCAGCTTTGTTTCTAGGAATACTTGCTTATTTTAAATGAACCGTACATTGTATCAATGAATTTCGTTCTTAAAAGGATAAGTTTCTAGTAAGGTTATATGAACCATATTCATATTATTCATGTTAATATTCATTTATATTATGAATATTCCGTGGAAGCTCCCATCAAAGAAATTTTCTTTAATATCAAGGTTTAATTTCATAATATCAATGAACTTAGTTCTTGTAA